ATAGCCAAGTTTTCTTATTAATTCTGGGTGGGGTTGTTTTTATTTGTTTTCATTTTAAACTAGCTCCTCTGAAGGTTTTTTAGATATACAACATCATCTGCAAATAAAGGGAATCATGTCTTTTTCCATTGGCATACTTTAACTTTACTTTTTATTAAAACAATTTCAAATTTATAAAAAGTTGCAAAAATAAAAATAGTACAAGGAACATCCATATACTAATTTGTTCTAGCATTTGCTCTGAGTGTATGTGTGTGTATGTATGTGTTCTTGTTTTTATTTTCTTTAGAGCTTTTGAGGGTAACTTATATCCAAAACTCTAGTGTGTACTTCTGAAGAATAAGGATATACTCTTACATAACCACAGTAGTCATCAACACAAAATTGACACTGATACTGTAATCTAATCTACAATCTATATTCCAGTTTATAAGCTGACCTACTAAGTCTTTTATAGCATTTTTCTCCCTCTGGAATAGGATTCAGTCTAGGGCCGGATATCACATTTAACCATCAGGTCTGTTTAGCCTTCTATAATCTGGAATATTTCCACAGCCTTTCTTCAACATTTCTGAACCTTTCAAAAAACAATCTATGGCTGATTCATGTTGATATTTGGCAGAATACAGTAAAAATCTGTAAAGCAATCATCCTTCAGTTAAAAAATAAATATTTTTTTAAAAAGAAAATTAAAAAAACATTATTTATGTTTATTAGTATACTTTTCAACTTTTTTTCTGTCTTACTATATAAACTAAAATTTCCAAAGCAATATTATGTAACAGTGGTGATATAAGCATCTCTCTGTGTGCATTACTGATTTTATTGGAAATGAAATGGGTTTAGCATTTTGCCATTTACAAGGATACTGATGCATACTGATGTCTAGTATGCAAGGAGTTACCTTCCATTCCTGTTTTACATAGAACTACTTTAGAAAACAGCTGCTAGATTATATCAAAAGCCTTTTGGCTTCTATTTACATAATCCTGTGTGATTTTCCTCTTAGGTTCACAAACTCCCTATTACCATGAACAATATTGTGAAATGTTGACTGATTCCCAAAGGTTGATTGATCTAAGCTGGCATGGCTGGAATAAACCCTACTTGGTCATACTTGTTTATTTATTTAATATACTATTTGATTTGACTGACCAATAGTTAATTTATAATTTATAATTTCTACATCTATATTTATAAGAAAAATTAGTCTAAAGTGTTTTTGGGATACTATCTATTAGATTTGGGGTTTGGGAGTTTTTCATTTTACAGTTTTGTTTTCTTCTAATCTCTATTTTCTCTCCATCTTATTACTTTGGTTAGTTCCTCCAATAAAGCTGAATGGAATAATGATAGCAGGCAGTGTTGTTTTGCTTCTAGTTTTAAAGAGAATGTTTTATACATTCTACTATTTTCTATAGGTTTTCTGAGGCTACTTTTTAAGGTTAAGGAATTCCCCTTTTATTCTGTTTTCAAGAATAGTTTTCTTCTTTTTGTTTGTTTTTGTTTTCAATCATGGGTAGTTTTAACTTTTTCTAAAACTTGTTGAAATAATGTGCTTTTTAATCTTCTAATTCATTAATAAGGTAAACATATTAGTAGATTTTCTAATATTAGACTAACTTTGAATTCCTGGAATAATCCTAGCTTAGTCTTTTTTATTTTTATTTGTGTGAGTGTGCATTTATCTTCATTTTTTGTTTTTAAAAATTTTTCTTTGATTCTTTGGTTTGTTTGTAACTTGGCCCTTTTTGGTATGTTGCTGGATTTCATTTGCTATTGTCTGCTTAGTATTTTTGCATCTATGTTCATGATTGAGATTGCCTATAATTTTCCCATTAATATCTTATTTTGTATCAAGATTATCCTTGACTCATAAAATGAATTAAGACAGGAGTTTTTCTTTCAGTCTTTTGAAGAGCTTAAGTAAGTTTCAAATTATTTGTTTCTTGATTGTTAGAACTCACTAATTATCTGGGACTAGTGTTTTCTTCATGGAAATATTTTTAGTTTTTTATCTGATATCTTGAAGATTATAAGTGTATCCTGGCTTTCTATTTTGTTTTTAACTGGATTTGATTTGTATTCTTCAAGAAATTTATTCATTTAATAAGATCTGAAATGCTGCATAAAGTTATTCCTGAGTTTAAAATTATTTTTTAATAGTATTAGTACAGCTAATTTTGACTTTTTTATTGCAACAATTATTTACTCATGTCTTTTTTCTTCATGTTGCCAGAGATTTGTTTATTTTATTAAGCTTTCAAAGAACCAGTTTGACTTCGATGATCTTCTCTATTATGTATCTGTTTCTTTTTCAATGATCTCTGTCCTTTTATTATTTCTTCAATTTTATTTGGAATTTTAATGCTGTTCTTTTTTCTAACTTTCCATGGTGCATACATTCAAAACTACCTCTACCTTATCTCTTTTCTAATATAAGCATTTAAAACTTTAAATGTGTCACATATATGCTGAAAAATAGTTTTTCATTTTTGTTTAGTGCTAAATGTTTTCTAATCTGATATTTAGAATGTTTCAAAATTTCCAAACATAGGAAGTTTTTCCTCACTGTCTTTTTGTTATCGGCTTCTACCTTACTTTGCTTATGGTCAGAAAACATTGTACAGCTTGCTATCAGTTGTGGCATGAAGTGCTATCCTTTTTATTATTTTTTGTTTCTCCATTTTACTTTTGATTTCCTCTAATGTCCAAGGAGTAACTTGAAGGAGTTCTTTAATTTCCCAGAATATTAGAAACACTGCATGGAGGGGTGCAGTCTTTTTATCATTTATTTTTATGGGATTATGATATGACTTATTCCCTGAAGTGAATCAAGGAAGCAAGATGGATGGGCAGCAAGCTGAGGGATGCCAGGCGATGCTGTATAATCTCTTCAGTACCTGCCCTGGAAGAAGGCGCAGGTAGAGGACTTAGCGATCCTGGTGCTGACCAGAGCTGAGGCCCAGGGTTAGAGCGGAGGGGCTGCCCTCAGCCCAGCTTCTGTGGCTCAGCTCTTCGCCTTCTCTAGGACTCGGCTCCTGAAGTACACGCAGACAGCAGGGCTTGGCAGCCCCCACCTGCCCATCACTGATCCTGGAGGGACAGACTGATCGTTTTTTTTTAGTTGAGTTATAATTTATATACTATAAACTTCGCTCTTTTCAAGTGTGTAGTTCAGTGGGTCTTAGTCTATACACAGACTTGTGCAACTGTCAGCACTACTTGATTTCAGAACAGTCTCGTCACCTCCGAGAGAACCCCTGCAACTGTTCGTTGCCAGCCCCGATCCTTTCTCCGCCAGCCCCCAGGAATCACTCATTTTTATTTTGTGGATTTGACTCGTCTGGACATTTGGTGTCAGTAGAACCATGTCCTCTGTGGCTTGCTGTGTCTGGGTTCTTTCACTTAGCATGATGTTTTCAAGGTTCATCCATGTTGTAGCCTGTGTCAGTACTTCATCCCTTTTTAAAGCTGACTGCATGGATATCCCACCTTTGTTTATCCAGTTATCAGTTTGTGGACTTCTGGGTTATTTTCACTTCTTGCCTATTGTAAATAATGCTACTGTGAACCTTCATATGCAAGTTTTATGTGGATATGTGTTCCCATTTCTCTTGGGTGTACACCTGGGGATGGAATTGTTGGGTCATACTGTGACTCTGTGTTTAACCTTTTGAGAAACTGCCAGGCTATTTTCTAAAGTGACCACACAAATTTACCTTCACACCATCAGTGTCTGAGAGTTCCAGTTCTTCCACAGCCTTAACACATGTTATTATCTGTCTTTATTACAGTCGTGAGTGTGAAGTGCCATCTCATTGTGTGCTTCCGTTTCTTTAATGACTAATTAGTTTGTGCTATTCGCTTAGACGCTCAGTCGTGTCCAACTCTTTGTGACCCCAGGGACTGTAGCCAGCCAGGCTTCTCTGTCCATGGGGAGTGCCCAGACAAGAATACTGGAGTGAGTTACCATGCCCTCCTCAGGGGATCGAACCCAGGTCTTCTGCATTGCAGGCAGATTCTTTACCAGCTGAGCTACCAGGGAAGTTCAATGACTAATTAGCTGGGCATATGTATATCTTCTTTGGAGAAATGTTTATTTAGATCCTTTGCCATTTTAAAATAGCATATTCATCTTTTTTTAATTAACAAATTAGTTTTTGGCTGCAGTGGGTCTTCATTGCAGAACACGGGCTTCACTACACGGGCTTCAGTAGTTGTGGCTCACGGGGTTAGTTGCCCCATGGCTTGTAGAATCCTCCTGGGCCAAGGATCAAACCCGTGTCCCCTGCATTGGCAGGCGGATTCTTAACCATTGGACCACCAGGGAAGTCCAGTATTTGTCTTTTTATTGTTGAGTTGTAAGATTTCTTTATATATTCCAGATATCAGCCTGATTCTAACACTAAGAATGAATACCTCACTTGATCTTAACCGAAAGAGAAGTGATTGCCTGATTCTTTTTATTCCTGAAGACTGCGAGGACTACACGTGAATTGATCGCAGCCCCGTGACTAGGGAAAGATTGCCACTGGTAGATGGGGACACGTGGGAGCCAAGGAGAGCACTTTGCCAGTGTGTTTATCATTAGTCCACAGGGGCAGAAACAATGGTCGGGAGACCTAAGCAGCCATAATAACTACTACATTTTATTGAGCTGTTACAAGGTCTCAGCGCCAGATAATGACTTACCATATAGTATATATTCCTTCTCACAGAAGCCCTATGAAATAGGGGTTAGTATTATTCCCACTTTAAAGATGAGGAAAGTAAGTTTCAGTTCTAACCCTGGTCTTCCAACTCTAAAGTCAGTGATCCTACCCACCCAAGTATACTGCCTTGCAAACAGAATTCAAACTTTCCACTTAACCAGTCTCTCAAGTTCATTTCCAAGAGTGTCTGGGCACAAGATGGGAGAAAGAACTTGAGACTGGGGAAGGCTGGGGAGGAGACCTCTGGCCTCACTGTCACTCTGGGCTGCTCTCCCCTCCTGCCAGTTTGCCCAGTATGCTGAGATTGTCAACTTCACCCTCCCCAACGGGACTCAGAGGAGTGGGCAAGTGCTCGAGGTGTCTGGGACCAAGGCAGTTGTGCAGGTAAGTGGTGTCACTAAGATGTTTCTGGTTGAATAAATGAATGAACGCACAAAGTTTCCATGCTCTCATAGACTCCAAAGGCAGAAAATGGCCTGTTTTTCCTGAAAGCACCTTACCCAGAGCTGGACACAAAGGGAGCCTAGAATGGGAGGCCCCATTCTCCCCAGCAAACCCCTTATTAAAGTAACTAACCTCTTATCCTGTAGGTGTTTGAAGGCACCTCTGGGATCGATGCCCAGAAGACCACCTGCGAATTCACAGGGGACATCCTGCGGACCCCAGTGTCGGAGGACATGCTGGGTGAGGGGTAGGGTTGGGCAGGGTGGAGTGCCCGTCTGTCCGTCCAGTCCAGCGCCCCTGACAAGGGCTTAACAGACCGCACTGGTGTTGCCTCCCTACCTGTCTGCCTCCCCGGGAGCCCTGTGAGCTCAGAGCTTGTGCCTTCTCTTTGACCCCCAACCCGCGCTCAGGGCCTGACTTGCAGCAGGTGTTCACTACATGAAGAAGGCAGCTTCAGTAAACTAGAGGACGAGGACATTTGGGGTCAAGCTGGAGTGAACTGCACATCCCCTAGTTTTCTCCCAAGATCTGCCGTCCCTGGCTCTCTCCTCTCTCCAGCTCTAACACACCCCATTAGAGTCACAGTCCCGGCCAAGCTCTTGCCTATAAAGGTTTCCAGGAGAGGAGGGAAGGCCCCCAGGGAGACAGTCACTGTAGCCAGCTCCCTGGGGGTCACTGAGGGCTGAGGGCAGGGGGACACGGGGCATTGGGGCAGGAGGGACAGGTGGGAGCTGGTGGTGGGGTGGAGGGTAAGCAGCAGTGAGAGCCCCAGGGCTGGTCCTGAGCATGCTCCAACCCCCCTCACCCACCCCCAGGTCGGGTTTTCAATGGCTCAGGCAAACCCATTGACAAGGGGCCAGTGGTCATGGCCGAGGACTTCCTGGACATCAACGGTGAGTGAGGCTTTGGGCAGTTCTTAAGACCCAGCTTCCAACCATCTTTCCCCACCCGCCACAGCCTGTGTCACCTCACACTTGGAAGTTCTGCCTCAGATATTGTGCAGGGTCATTGCCCAGGGTTCACCGCCAGGACTGGTCAGACCAACAGGCGGATCCGGTGAGATACGACAGCAGCAAAGGCCTCCCTGTCCAGGGCCAGCGGCATTTCACGTCCCATTCCTATAAAATGCCATTATCATTGTGCAAATTCCCCACATGCCCAAGACCCTCTGCCACTTCTAATGTGTCTAGATGGCACCATTCAACAGAGCTGTGGTTTTTATTTAAATACACACTAATTCAAAGGAAATAAAATTTCGTGTCAAAATGCCACTGCATGTGCTCAGTAGCTACAGGTGGCCAGGCCTGCATTCTGAGCAGTGCAGTTAGAGCACGTTTCCATCATCGAAGAAAACTGTGTCCCGCAGTGCTACCGGGGCAGGGCTGGGGGTGGTACATGGGGAAGGGGTCTGAACCCTCCAGCAGGGCCTGTGACTGCCTTCTCCCAGGCCAGCCCATCAACCCCCACGACCGCATCTACCCCGAGGAGATGATCGAGACAGGCATCTCGCCCATCGACATCATGAACAGCATTGCCCGTGGTCAGAAGATCCCCATCTTCTCAGCAGCCGGGCTCCCCCACAATGAGGTGAGGACTGCATGGGGGCCTGCAGGCATGACCAAGGGGAAGGGACAGCGCAGATCCCAGAGCTCGTGGGCTGGCAAGGGCGCCTCCTGTGCCGAGCGGGCAGGGGCCAGCGGAGCCGGGGTCACCAGCAGCTCTCATGTGGCAGCTCCAGGCCTCAGGGCTGCACAAGCCCCCCTGGTGCCACAGACAGATCTGCAGATCTCCTTCCTGAGTGAGTGGGGCCCCCACTGGTTCACGAGCAAGCCCACGTGTAGCCTCAGTGTGGAAAGTCCTGCTCAGCTGAGAAGACAGCTCTACCCACTGGTTCTCATAGTGGTCTTTACTCACCTGCACTGAGCAAACCCTACCTCACGCCAGCCCAACTGTGTGAAACTTCTCTGGGCAAGTTTCCTACCCTACCCTCACCACCAAGAACGAGCAGCCCAGTTCTTCCCAGAGCAGCTGGTGTGACAAGGTTTCTAAATGGTCCCCACTGACCACCCACCCCCACTACTCCTGGACGCACCCCAGCTCACCTTCAAAATGCCCACAGTGACTGGATGGTCTAAGTGACCCTGCCTCCTGCCTACACACATGCTCATCCTGGATCTGGTAACCCCACACCCCACTGGCCCCAGAGACATCCCAGCATGGGGTGAGGGGGACAGGGGATTCTGAAGGATCTAGTTGCCCCAAACTCGAGGTAGGTAGTTGTCCTTTGGACCTGTTTTTCCACCCTGCTCTTCATGACAGGCACCCTGGGCTGGGGCGGCCCCTCCCCTGGGAGCGGCTGTAGGACCTGGGGCAGCCCTTCCATGTGTGACCTTGGGTCCCTCCCACCTAAGGCCTCAGCAAGAGGATGGACGGAACATCGCCCTGTCCACACTCCTCAGGGGTGCCCAAAGGCGCCAGCTCAGGCTCCAGTTCTGACATCCTTCCTCCTGTCCCCAGATTGCTGCCCAGATCTGCCGCCAGGCTGGGCTGGTGAAGAAGTCCAAGGCCGTGCTGGACTATCATGATGACAACTTTGCCATTGTCTTTGCAGCCATGGGGGTAAGAGAGGTTGGGCAGATGGCAAGTTCTGTAGGTGGCAGGCGGGCCCTTGGCCCCTTGGCCTCAGGCATACCCAGTCTAAGGGGGGAGGCGTTATCCTTCTCGTTGAGAACCTGGCCTCTGGCATGTCTGTTGGGAGAGGCAAGAGTGTGAATGAGGGCTGGGCAGTGTGTTCCCCACAGCAGCCCCAAGAGGATTCTGGGGCAGCTGGGAGAGGAGGAAATTAGGGGAGAAAAGATGGCTTCGGGATGGGGAACCCAGGGACCCTCAGAGGAACAAGAGGCTTAGTGGGTCAGGTGAGGAGCAGGGTGACAGTGGGCAGCTCAGCCTGACATCTGAACCTCTCTCTGGGGTTCTGATGAGACCCCACTGACTGATAGCTGGTCAGTAATAGGCTTTACTGGAAGAGATGGGAGAGGCCTGGCCCCACCTCCAGCCCTCCCTGCTCTGTGTCCAGGTGAACATGGAGACAGCCAGGTTCTTCAAGTCTGACTTCGAGCAGAATGGCACCATGGGCAACGTCTGCCTCTTCCTGAACTTGGCCAACGACCCCACGTGAGCACCCACACTACCTGTAGGCAGCAGGCCCTGCACTTCCAAGGCCCGGAGCCCAGGTCTCAGGCTTCGCCAGAGCTGGGAGAGCAACCCTTCATTGTGCAGATGGGGAAACTGAGGCTGGGGAAGAGGTGGGGACAGTGCATGAGGAGATAGCGAGAGCCAGACCACCGCCTGCTGGCCGCCTGCAGCCCATCCACCCTCCCTACAACCTGCATCCAGCCACTGCCCCAAGTCACAGCTCCTCATCTTAGACTTGCTGCCACAAGGTTACCACTAAAGAGATGTTTCCCTAAACCCTTTGCTTAGAAAAACTGCTATTTTAAAAGTCAAGAAAATGGGAATTTAAATCTGTAGGTCAGGTGATGGAAGAAAAAACCAAAAACCCAATAAACTATGCTGGGAGCTGAAGGTACTCCAGAAGCTAGGGAGCAGAGCTCAGGAGGCCCAGATGGTGTCCGAAAGAAAAGTGCCATGGGCACAGGGCCCAGGGTCTGAGTGCCTGGAGCGGGAGGAACGGCTCCGGAGCGCTCACGGTGGAAGGCGCTGCAAGGCAGGCAAGTGTATGGCCTGCATGTGTGGTCAGGAACAGTGAGGGGAACAAAAAGGAAGGAACCCTGAGGACACAGAGAGTGGGAGCCTTCTGGCTGACCCAGCCCAGGTGCCCTGGGGGAGGCACACTGCTGAGCTCTGCCACGCCATCTGCCCTGGGGACAGACCCTCCGGGCCCCACCTGGCCCTCTCACCCAGCTCCCTGCCTGCCTGCCCCAGCCCCTGTCCCTGTTGCCACCTTGAACAGCAGGATGTGGCTGAGGGCCCAGTCTCCCAGGAGCTATGGCCTGGACCTGGGGGCTAGGGGCTGGAGCTCATCTTCCCCAGCCCCCTGCAGCTGTGCACTGTACCAGCTTCCGTGCTCCACGCAGCATGGGTGTAAATGGAGCAGAGGCCTGGCCTCCAGGTGCTCTGACCATTGGCCATACCTGCAGGATCGAGCGGATCATCACCCCACGCCTGGCACTGACCACGGCAGAGTTCCTCGCCTACCAGTGTGAGAAGCATGTGCTGGTCATACTGACGGACATGAGTTCCTATGCAGAGGCCTTGCGGGAGGTGAGTTGGCTGGCGAGGGGGGTCAGGCTCAGCCCCCCCCAAGTCATGAGCCCGGAGCTGGCCCACGCAGGCCCACCCCCACTCCATTCCTCGTGGTCACTGAACCCCCCATGCCCCTTCCTTGTATCATCCTCTTACCCCAAGGCCCACGGGTATTGCAGGTCTCAGCTGCCAGAGAGGAGGTGCCCGGGCGCCGAGGCTTCCCTGGGTACATGTACACTGACTTGGCCACCATCTATGAGCGGGCGGGCCGCGTGGAGGGCCGGGGCGGATCCATCACTCAGATCCCCATCCTCACCATGCCCAATGACGGTGAGCCACCTCCCTGCCCACTGTCCCCTGCAGCCCCCTGCCCTCCCGTCCCACCTGGACACTGACAGGACCGATGCTTCTTCACACAGATGCACAGTAGCTCCGCTCCTCCAGCAGGGTAGGCATTGTCCCTTCCTCGCCTCCACCTGTCACCCACTCCTGTGAGGGCAGAGAACCTACATGGCCCTGAGTGGGTGGAGACCTGAGCACCATCTATACTGACACCAATGCTTCTCCTTGCAGATATCACCCACCCAATCCCAGACCTGACGGGCTTCATCACAGAGGGACAGATCTACGTGGACAGACAGCTTCATAACAGACAGGTACCGTCCCCTCTCTACCCACTTCCAACTCTCTCCACCATCTCCAAAGACAAAACTAATAACCAATGTGCCACTTCCCACTGCACTTCACCTCTAGTGAATGAGGCGGGGCTGGGCAAGGCTAACCCCAAACAGGAGCTAATCCCCAGGAAGACAGTTTGGTTCCCCAGACAGAACTCTGGGTGGAGTCCAGCCTCCTTGGCTGTGGGATCTTTAGAAAATCATTTCAATTCTCTAATCCTCAGTTTCCACATCTGTAAAATGGGAATGATAATACTTATCATACAGTTGCATTGTGGAGAACAAAATAAATTGGTGGGAATTTCCTGGTGGTCCCGTGGTTAGGACTCCATGCTTCCATTGCTAGGGGGCACAGTTTCAATGCTTGGTTACATGTCACCTAGTACAGCCAAAAAAAAAAAAAAAAAAAAACAAAACAACAAAAAAGTATACAGTATAAAAGTATATATAGATCTAGAAAGCATCTAGCGGATCATAGATACAAAATAAATGCCAGTTCTCTTTTCTTTCCAGTAGTTTGCTTTACTGAACAGAAACAATAGGTAACTGACACAAGTGGGTGGTGAATAATATGTCCCATCGGAGGTTAAAGGTCACTCCCATGACTGTTTCCTCTTTGTTTGGCAGCTTCTTTCCTTGCAGCTAAGAACTATTAAGTTTCACTCGTTTTCACCTCAGTAATAATCAAAAGTTTTGAAATAGCTAGACTTTCATGAACTCCCCCCTCCATTCTAGGCGCACACATTTAGACACCTGTATACCCAAACCCCAGGATTTGTGGGAGATAAAGGGCGAGGGGTGTAACCAGCCCATCTTCCTGTGGGATGAATAAGGATCAGTCTGGGGAGAACCAGAGAGGGAGGGAAGACAAGTAGAGGTGGGAAGGAGGGGAAGGTTCGCACCCTGCCTTCTGCCACTCCCGGTTTCGGCTCCCCCCAGATCTACCCCCCCATCAACGTCCTCCCTTCCCTGTCACGGCTGATGAAGTCCGCCATTGGGGAGGGAATGACCAGAAAGGACCATGGAGATGTCTCCAACCAGCTGGTAAGGAGTGAGCCCAAGGGCTGGTGGGGAAGCTAGTTTCAGAAGCCGGAGGCTGGAGCCTTAGCTGGATCACGAGCTTTTCTGGCAAACAATCCCTCCCCTTTCGGGGTCCCGGCATGCACAGTCAGATGGGGGAACACGGGACTCCTGCGGTAAGCCTGCCGTGACTGCCGATCCCCTCCCCCGCCCTCGCCCAGTACGCCTGCTACGCCATCGGGAAGGACGTGCAGGCCATGAAGGCAGTGGTGGGGGAGGAGGCGCTCACGTCCGAGGATCTGCTCTACCTGGAATTCCTGCAGAAGTTTGAGAAGAGCTTCATCAACCAGGGTGAGGCGCGTTGGGGGCATTCAGGCAGCAACCGCCTTACTCCAACACACACACACACACACACACACACACACCCTTAACACTCCTGCTCTGTCCTTAGGGCCCTACGAGAAACGCTCGGTTTTCGAGTCTTTGGACCTGGGCTGGAAGCTGCTGCGCATCTTCCCCAAGGAAATGCTGAAGCGCATCCCGCAGAACATCATCGATGAGTTCTACTCCCGCGAGGGGGCGCCGCCGGACCCCGAACCCGACACTGCGCTGTAGCCCCGCCCGCAATCTGGCCTCGGAGCAGGGTCCAGGGACCCGCTTCGTCCGTCCCATCCTCATGGTCCACACACCTTAACCAACTCCGTGCCCACCCTCAGCCCGCCACGGGCAATGAGGAGAGAGGAGGCCGCTCCTACCTTCCAGTCCTCTCCCTGGATTCCCCGAATAGAGAACCAGAAGGTAGCTAGGCCTATATTCTCTGTCTCGTCCTGATAGGAGCATTTGTATTTTAAAAGTAGCCCCCATCCCATAAGAATTTATCTCATGTAAAAACAAGATTGGCAAAACATTGATAATTGTTGGAGCTGAGGGTGATGGATTCGTGAGGTTCATTAAACTATTCTCTCCACCTTAAAAAGAAAAAACACATTAGTGTCTTAACCAATGACAACATAATTCTTCTTAGGGAAATATTTATCTTCCGTAAAAAGTATCTTGATATGTATCTTAGGAATGTGAGGTCATGGGCCATAGAAAGCACAGTCTCAAGGCCACCAAAGATGTCTGCCTAAGAGACACCAGAAAGGAATTTGGTTTGCTCTAGGGGGGTTTCTGGGGAAATAGCCTGAAGAAAAGCGCCCCCAGTTAAGAAATGGGTGAAGAGCATCCTAAAAACCAGGATACAGATGTTCCTTTGAAAACTGCTCACTCTTCTGTAATGCCCTCCCCTCCTGCCTCCTCTGTCCCATCTACAGTGAAGTCATGAATGCTTCCTAAGAGGCAGGAAGGTTGGGAAGGTCGATCTTCAGCAAAAGGCTGTGTCCCATTTCTGGGTCAGTGTGTTATGGAACCAGGCCAGAATTCTTGGATCAAGAGCCGACACCTGGGACTTCCCTGGCAGTCCAGTCAGTGCTTAGGACTTCGGCTTCCAATGCAGGGGATGCAGGTTCAATCCTTGGTTGGGAAGCTAAGATCCTGCATGCCTTTCAGACAAAAAAAAAAAAAAAACAGAAGCAATATCATAACCAATTTTTTAAAAACTTTAAAAGTGATCCACATCAAAAAAAAAAAGAACTGACACCAAAGGAGGCCCTGAGAATAAAATTGCCATCCCCAAGACAATTTATAGCCATTTTAGGGAAAGCTTTTGGGTGTCCACAGGGCATAGGGTTGTTTTTACTTACTTATAGCTTTATTGAGATATGATTCACATACCATACAATTTACCTATTTATAATTGTACAATTCAACAACTTTTAGTGTATTCAGAGAGCTGAGCAATCATCACCACAACTAATTTTAGAACACCTTCATCACCTCAAGTAGAAACCCTATAGCCTGAGTTATCACTTCTTAAACCCCTCTTCTACCCCTTCCCCAGTCCAAGGTAATCGTTAATCTTTCTATTTCTGTAGCTTTGCCTATGCTGGTCAACTCATATAAATGAAATCATACAATATATGGTCTTTTGTGTCTGGCTGATTTCTCTTAGCATGATATTTTCAAGGTTCATCCATGTAGTGGTATGCCTCAGTACTTCATTCCTTTTTATTGCTATGTGACATTCCACAGTAGGGATACAACTTTTATCTATTTATCTGTATATGGACATATGGTTGCTTCCACTTTTTCACAATAATAAATGATGTTGCTATGAACAATCATGTACAAGTTTTTGTGTGGACGTATGTTTTTATAAGTGGGTGTCAGATAGTGACTCTGACACTATCTGTGTCAGAGTGTCACATAAATAGTGTAACCATTTGTGGAACTACCAGATTGCAAAGCTAATTGCAAAAGTGGCTTACCACAGTACATCCGCCAGCAGTGTAAAAGGGTTCCACTTTCTTTACATCCTCAAGTAATTTTTTTAAGACATTTTTTAGAAAATTTTTAAAAATTTTTATGTATTTGTTTATTATTTCTGGCTATGCTGGGTCTTCATTGCTATGTGTGGGCTTTCTTTAGTTGCGGCAAATGGGGGCTACTCTTCATTGCACTGCTCAGGCTTCTCATTGGGGTGGCTTCTCTTGTTGTGTGGGCTTCCCTGGCAGCCAGATGATAAAGAATCCGCCTGCACTGTGGGAGACCTGGGTTCGATCCCTGGATCGGGAAGATCCCCTGGAGAAGGGAATGGTTACCCACTCAATTGTGGCCTGGAGAACCCACGGACAGAGGAGCGTGCAGGCTACAGTCCTTGGGGTCACAAAGACTTGGACGTGACTAAGTGACTTGCACTTCGCTTCTCTTGTAGGGGAGCGCAGGCTCTAGGTTTGAGGGAGTGTGTAGTTGCAGCACGCGGGCTCGGCAGCTGCAGCTCGTGGGCTCCGGAGCACGGGCTCGGCAGCCGCAGTGCACAGGCTTAATTGCACCACAGCATGTGAGATCTTCCCAGACTAGGACCGAACCCATGTCCCCGTGCACTGGCAGGTAGATTTGTATCCACTGAACCACCAGGGAAGTCCTCAACAGTTATTTTTTTTCTCTTTTTTAAATTGAAGTATGATTAACTTCAAATATTATTTTAGGTTCAGATGTACAATCTAATGGCTTGATATCTTTATACATTACAAAATAATCACCGTGAAGGTCTAGCTACCATCTGTCACCATATACAGTTATGACAATAGTATTGACTATATTTCCTATGCTGTACATTACATCTCTATGACTTGTTTATTCTATCTGGAAGCTTGTACCTCTTAATCTCCCTCATTTATTTCACTCATCTTCCCCTACTCCCCCCTGGCAACCACCCGTTTGTTTTCTGTATCTGTTAATCTGTTCCTGTTTTTCTGTTTGTTTTGTTTTTTTAGATTTCATATATAAGGGAAATCATGCAGTGTTTGTCTTTCTCTGACAGTTCACTTAGCATAATACCTTCTAGATACCTTCATAATACCTTCATGTTGTGTCAAGATTTATTTTTTATAGCTGAGTAATATTCCATTGTGTGTATATATGTATATACCAAAGCTGTATCCATCTATCAATGGACACTTAGGTTACTTTCATATCTTGGCAACTGTAAATAATGAACACAAGGTTGCACACATCTTTTTGAATTAGTGTTTTTGTCTTCTTCAGAAAAATACCCAGAAGTAGAATTGTTGGATTGTATGGTAGTTCTGAAACAGTTGGAACAGTGTCAGACTTAATTATGGGGGGGCTTCAAAATCACTGCAGATGGTGATTGCAGCCATGAAATTAAAAGACACTTACTCCTTGGAAGGAAAGTTATGACCAACCTAGATAGCATATTAAAAAGCAGAGACATTACATTGCCAACAAAGGTCCGTCTAGTCAAGGCTATGGTTTTTCCAGTGGTCATGTATGGATGTGAGAGCTGAACTGTGAAGAAAGCTGAGTGCCGAAAAATTCATGCTTTTGAACTGTGGTGTTGGAGAAGACTCTTGAGAGTCTCTTGGACTGCAAGGAGATCCAACCAGTCCATCCTGAAGGAGATCAGTCCTGGGTGTTCTTTGGAAGGACTGATGCTGAAGCTGAAACTCCAATACTTTGGCCACCTCATGCGAAGAGTTGACTCATTGGAAAAGACCCTGATGCTGGGAGGGATTGAGGGCAGGAGGAGAAGGGGACAACAGAGGATGAGATGGCTGGATGGCATCACCAACTTGATGGGCATGAGTTTGAGTAAGCTCCGGGAGTTGGTGGTGGACAGGGAGGCCTGGCGCGCTGCGATTCATGGGGTCGCAAAGAGTCCATGACTGAGCAACTGAACAGAACTGAACTGATGGTAGTTCTGTTTTTAATGTTCAGAGGAATCTCTGTACCGTTTCTCATATTGACTGTACCAATTTACATTCCCACCAATAGTACATGAGGGTTCCCTTTTCTCCACATCCTCACCAATACTTGTTATTTTTAGTCTTTTTGAAATTAGTCATTCTGACAGTTGTGGGTGAGCTCTCACTGTGGATTTGATTTACATTTCCCTGATATCTAGTGATGTGAACATCTTTTCATGTGTCCATTTGCCATCTGTCATCTTTGCAAAAATATCTATTCATGCCCTCTATGCAGCATTTTTTAATCAGGGAAAAATGTATTTTTTTTAAATGTTGAGTTGTATGTTTTTGTATGTTTTTCATATTAACTCCTAATCAGATTTATCATTTTCAAATATTTTCTCCCATTCAAGGCAGTCTTTTGTGTTAAGCTCTTTAGATTCATGCAGACTCAACTTGTTTATTTTTGATTTTGTGTCCCTTGCCCAAGGAGAATATTGCTAAAATTGATGTCATAGAGCATACTGCCTGTTTTCTTCCAGGAGTTTAATAGTTTCAGGTCTTAAATTTAAGTCTTTAACCCACCTAAAGTTTATTATTTTATGTGGTATGAGTCCAGTTTGATTCTTTTGTATGTAGCTGTGCAGTTATTGTCTTTTTGACACAACAGCTATCCTAGTAGACATGAAATGACATCTCATTTTTTATTTTGATTTGCATATCCTGATGGCCAATGATACTGAGCGTATTATTTTTTCATGTGCTGTTGGCCATTTGTATATTTTCTCTGGAGAAACATGTGTTCAGATGTTTTGCCCATTTTAAAATGAGGGTTCCTTTTATTTGTCTTTTTATTGTTGAATTCTAAGAGTTTTTTGTATTTTTTGGACACAAGTCTTTAATCAGCAATTTGTAAATATTTTCTCTCATTCTGTAGATTGGCTTTCACTTTTTTGATGGCATCTTTTGAAGCACAAAGGATTTTAATTTATAATATCCAGTTTGTTTCTTTTGATGTCATATCTAAGAACCTATTGTCTAATCTAAGGGCACAAAGCTTTCCATCTACAATTATTTTCTAAGAGTTTTTGGTTTTAGCTCTTACATTTATATCTTCCTTCACTTTGAGTTAGTTTTTGTTATGGTACAAAGAGGGTACCAGGGGTCAAGTTTTACCCTTTTGCATGTGGATATTCACTTGCCCCAGCACCACTGGTTGAAAAGAGTATTCTTGCCTCCATTGAATTATCTTGGCACTTTCTTAAAAAATCAATTGACAGTGTTAGGGTTTTTTTTTTCTCCTGGATTCCAGATCTATCCCATAGATCTGTATGTCCATCCTTTTGCCAGGACCATGTTCCTTAAGATTTTCAATATGCAAGATCATATAATCTTAGTAGAGATAGTTTTACTTCTTTCTTTTGAATGGATGTCTTTTATTTCATTTCCTTGCCTCGTTTCCCTGGCTATAATACTTCAATACAATGTTGAATAGAATAGGCAAGAGCAGACATCACTGTCTTGTTCCAGATCTTAAAGAGAAATCAGTCTTTCACCATTAAGTATAAAGTTAGCTGTGGATTTTACACAGATACTCTATCAGGTTGAGGAATTTCTTTCCATTCCAAGTTTGTTGAGTACTTTATCTAGAAGAGGTGTGGAATTTTGTTAAAAGTTCTGTTACGCTCTTTAAAGGTTTACCTGTTGATTATGGCTGTGCTGGGCCTTCTCTAGCAGCAGTGCACAGGTTTCTCATTGTGGTCGCTTCCGTTGTGGAGGATGGACTCTAGGCATGCTGGCTTCCTTCCTTGTGGTTCACAGGCTCCAGAGTGCAGGCTCAGTAGTTAGCCTAGTTGCCCCAAGGCATGTGGGATCTTCTCAGACCAAGGATTGAACCCTTGTCCCTTACCCACTGACAGGCAGATTCTTAATCACTGGGCCACCGGGGAAGCAGTGTTAAATGTTCTTTCTGGTCTGTTGAGATGATCATGGGTTTTGTCTTTTATTCAATTGATATGATAAATTACATTAATTGATTTTCAGATGTTAAACCAATGTTGCTTTCCTAGGATAAATTCCACTTTGTCATAGTGTATAGTCTTTTTTACACATTACTAGATTCTCTTTGGTAGTGCTTTGTAGAGAATTTTTGCCTATTCACAAGAGCTATTGGTCTGAAGGATTTTTTTTTCTTCTTGTGATGTTTTGTCTGATTTTGGTATAAGGGGACTACTAACCGCATGGTGCAACAGTAAAGAATCCTCTTACCAATGCAGGTCATGCAAGAGACTCCGATTTGATCCCTGGGTCGGGAAGATACCTGGAGTAGGAGATGGCAACCCACTCCAGTATTCTTGCCTAGGAATTCCCACGGTCAGAGGAACCTATTGTCATAGTCCATGGGGTCGACAGAATTAAACACAATTAAGTGACTGAGTGCACACACACACACACAACCTCACAGAATGAGTTGGGATTCCTTGATCTTTTATTTTTTACTTTTGGAAGAGTTTGTAAGTAATTGGTAATAATTCATCTTTAAAGTTTGGTAGATTCACCAAAAGTCTAAACTAGGAATTTTCTTTTTAAGGCTTTTTTTTTTTAAAGCTTTTTAAAGTTTGTTGTTCCTAACTGAATTGCGCTACTAGTTATAGTTCTATTTATATTTTTCATTTCTCCCTGAGTCCATTTCGGTACTTTTTGTCCTAAGAAATTGTCCACCCCATGGAATTTCCTGGCTATCCAGTGGTCAGGACTCCATGCTCTCACTGCAAAGGGCCGGGTTCAGTCTCTGGCCAGGGAACTAAGATCCCAGAAGCTGTATGGTACAACCAAAAAGAAAAAATTTTTTTTTAATTTAGAAAATTTTTTACAAAGAAGAATTTGCCCATTTCATCTAAGCTATATAAATTGTTGGAAAATGACTGGTGATGGTATTCCCTTGTAATCCTTCTCATTTCTGTTAGGCTTGTAATAATGACCCCTCTTTAATTCCTGTTTTAGTAATTTAATTCTTCACTCTTTTTCTCTTGGTCAGTCTAGCTAAAGATTTGCCAGTCTTATTGATCTTTTCAAAGAATCATCTTTTAGTTTTTTTTATTTTATCTATTGTTTTCTATTCTCTATTCTATTAATTTCTGCTCTAATCTTTCCTCTACTTGCTCTGGGTTTAGTTTGCTCTTTTTTTTTCATCGTTAAGGTGGAATTTTAGATTTATCTGAGATCTTTCTCCTTTTTTAACCTAGGCATTTGCAGCTATAAATAGTCCAGGTAGTACTGCTCTAGCTGCATCCAATAAGTTTTGGTATGCTGTGCCTTTGTTCTTATTCACTCAAACTAATTTCCCTTCTGATTTATTATTTGGAAGTTTGTTTCTTAATTTCCATATATTTGTGACTTTCTTAACTTTCTGTTATTAATGGCTAATTTCATTCCTGTGTGTCAGAGAACACACAATTGTATAATTTAAATTTATTTAAGTTTATTGAGGCTTATTTTATGGTCTAATTTATAGACAAAATTTGTTTATTTTGCAGAATGTTCCGTGTACACTTGAGAAGAATGTGTATTCTGCTGTTTTTGGATGGAGAGTGCTATCGATGTCTGTTAAGTCACTGGTTTAGTGTTGTTCAGGTCTTCTTGTTTCCTTGTACTGTCTCCTTGTTCTATCCATTGTTGAAAGTGGGCTGTTGAAGCTTCCAACTATTATTGTTACACTATATATTTCTTCTTTCAGTTCTGGCAGTTGTTGCTTCATATTTTGGGGGCTGTGTTGTTAATTGCATATCTGCAGATCTGGTATATCTTTCTGATGGATGGACCCTGTTGTCATTATGAATTGTCCCTCTTTAGGGCTAGTTTTTTGTGTTAAAGTCTATTTTGTCTGATATTAGTAGAACCACTCCAGCTTTCTTATGGTTGCTGCTTGCAAAATACAAATTTTCTTTCCTTTTCTCCTTTTACTTTCAACCTATTTGTATCTTTGAATCCAAAGTATACTTCCTGTAGGCCATATATAGTTGGATCTTGATGTTTATTCAGTTTGATCATTTTTGTCTTTTGATTGGATTATTAAATCCTTTTACATTGAATATTATTTCTGATATGTTAGGATGTACATTTGCCATTTTACTTTTGTATGTGTCAAGTCTTTTTTGTTGTTATTGTTTCCCTATTCCTCCTTTAATGTTTCCTTTTACAATAAGTGAATTTTTTGTAACTTTTGTTTTTTATTTTCTTAGTGTTTTCTCTAGGACTTATCATATACATCTTGTCTTAGCAGTATCTAAGACATATTAATTTAATTTCAAGGAGATACTGGATATCCTCTATATCCTGTATATCCTATATATCTCTATTTTTCTTCCACTTTCTTGTAATATTATCATACATATTACAATTTGTATATATATTATATATGCAACCATACATTGTTAATTATTGCTTTATGTAATTTTATGTCCTTTAAAGAAGCTGAGAACAGTATATATTTACAGATTTTGTTATACATGTTTTCTAATTTACCATTTCTGGTTCTCTTCATTCAAGATTCTCTTGAATCTCTGTGGATTCAAGTTAAAAATCTTACTTATTTTCTTACTCCATACAGCTTTGTTCCCATCCACCTGCTTTGTGTTATTATTGTTACTGTTCTATATGTTATAGGCCCAACAATACAATTATATATTGTTTTACACAATTCCTTTTTTTTAAATATTTATTTATTTATCTTCGGCTGGACTGGGTCTTTGTTGCTGCACTTGGCTTTCTCTGGTTGCAGCAAGCAGGGTAAGCAATGTCTTTATTTTGTCGTCATTTTAAAAGATGGTTTTGCTGGATATAAGATTCTTGGTTGATAGTTTTTCTCTTTCAGTATTTGCATGTGTCATCTCACTGCATTTTGGCCTTATTATTTCTGATGGGAAGTGAGTTGCTTATCTTTGTGGGCTCCCCTTGTATGTGGTGAGTCACTTTTCTCTTTGTTGCTTTCAAAATTTTCTTCACGTCTTCAGAATTTTTAGTATGATTGCCTGGGTGTGAATATCTTTATGTTTTCCTACTTTCAATTTGTTGAGCTTCTTAAATGTGTTGATTAATCTTTTTCAACCATTACTTCTTCAGGTATTTTTTCTGCTCTTTTCTCTCACTTTTCATCCTGATACTCCTATTATGTGTATGTTGGTGTGCATAATGATGTCCCATATATATATTTTTTGAGGATTTTTCTTCACTCTTTTTTATTTCTGTTCTTTGAATTGCATAATCTTTACTGCTTATCTTCAAGTTTGCTGATTATTTCTTCTGTGAGTTCAGATCTACTCTTGAAAATTTCAAGTAAGTTTTTCATTTCAGTTATTGTATTTTTCAATTTCAGGATTTTCATTTTTTTTTAATAATTGCTCTTTTTTGATATTCCTTTTTTGATGAAACATTGGCATACTTACTTTCACTTTTTAGTATGGCTTCCTTTAGTTCTTTGAAGATGCTGATAACTGCTTTGAAATCTTGGTTTGCTCTATCTGATATGTGTCCTTTCACAGACAATTTCTGTTGGATGCTTTTTTACCCAACTTTTTGTTTCTTTATACGTCTCATAATTTTTTGTTGAGAACTGGACTTCTAAAGTAATATACTATAGCAACTCTGGATACTGATTTTCTCACCCCTTCCCTGGTGGCTCAGATGGTGAAGAATCTGCCTGCAGGGGTTCGGATCGTGAGTCCACGCCGCAGCGGGCACCGCGGTCCAGAGCAATGGCGGTGGTTGTCCGAGTGGTTTATTGGGCTTGTAGCCTCAAGCATCTTCAGCTCAAGAAGAAGTCAGAAGATGAGTTCCCCAGCCATCTGGACATCTGCGGTGAGGGGACTCCCCAGGTCACTGGCTTCTTTGAAGTGTTCGTAGCAGGAAAGCTGGTTCACTCCAAGAAGGGAGGCGATGGCTATGTGGACACGGAGAGCAAGTTTCTGAAGCTGGTGGCCGCCATCAAAAGCTGCTTTGGCTCAGGCCTGATGTGCCCTGAAGGCAAAGACCAGTAACTGTGGCCCAGCCCCTCCCAGCAGATGCTTCATGACAGGAAGGACTGAAATGTCTCTTGGACGCCTGGTCCTTCCCTGATGTTCTCACGGCCACCGGTTGGAGCAGAGATGGACACCCCTGGTCTTTGCCTGTGTGTGTGTGTGGGAGTGCGTGTGTGTCCCTGCACGCTGGTCCTGCTGCCTTCCCCATCCCTCATCTCCCTGCATCTCCCCGCCACCCACCCCAAACCGGCCCTTGTCTTCCCTTCTACCCTGTGGTGTTTGGGGTGGTCCTTCTCCAGGCTTCCTTTTCAAGGGGAAGCCGAGAGGAGGATCAGGATGAGTGAGTCTCAGATTTCAGCAGTGATGGCAACAGTTCACAGCTCAATAAATGGTGATGAGGTTAACAAAAAAAAGAATCTGCCTGCAATGCAGAAGACGAAGATTTGATCCCTGAGTCAGGAAGATCCCCTGGAGAAGGGAATGGCTACCCACTCCAGTATTCTTGCCTGGAGAATTGCATGGACAGTGGAGCCTGGCAAGCCACAGTCCATGGGGGTCACAAAGAATCAGACCCAACTGAGCAACTTTCATTCACTCACTCACTCACTCACTCCCCAAGGTTTGTTTGTTGCTGTTTGCTTGTTTATTCCTTTAGTGACTTGGATGGATTATTTTGGTATTTTCCCCCTCTTTGTGAAGCCTCTGATATGCTGCTCAGAGGATGCAGCCCTGGATATATGCACAATAACTCTAGGATGGCAGTAGTAGCAGAACTCTCTGAGACTGTCTGTTTCCCTGAGCTCTCTGTTAAACTGGCTGCCTCTGCTAGCATCATACCCAACTTTTAGGCTCCACTAGTTGTCAGCTTATTGCTCTATTCGTTGCTCTAGGGCATACATTACTCTAGGGTCTGATTCAATTAAACTTGGGTGCCTTTGTGGAGGTAGTTTTTAAAGCCAGTCTTTGAGGTTTGTTCTGACCCCATGAGGGCTCTTCTAGGCTTTCTTTTTCCCTGGTTCTCTCTGGTAAACTAGGTGGCCTACAGCTTGTTTTAAATTGCTTACCACCCAAATCTCCATTACATTCAGAGCACTCTTAAGTTTGAATGTCCCCATGTTCTGTTTCAAATAAAGTTCGTGATTTTTTTTTTTTTTTTTTTTTGGCTGCACTGTGCCACTTGCCAGATCTTAGTTCCAACCAGGGATGGAACTCATGCCCCCTGCTGTGGAAGCATGGAGCCCTAACCACTGGACAGCCAGGGGACTCCCTGAAGTCAATGACTTAGGGAAGAGCTTCAGAGTTCTCAGTTTTTGTGGATTGACTGGGCGTAATCGCTGAGTCTCTGTTGTAGAACTGAGGGCAAGGACAGTGGTTCATCTCCTAGAATAACATCTGGCTTCATGTGCAGGATTCTGGGCAGTGGTGGTAGCCTTTCATTCTTTCCATGGACAATTAGGTTACCTGCAATTCTCTCCCAACACAGAACATCTGCCCATGAGCATGCAGGCTGGGACAAAGAGATCAGTATTCTTAGCCTGCCATGCCTGAAGTCAAGCCTTTGTCCCATCAGTGAGAGCCGGGTGGAGGAAGGGAGCCCCAATCTCTTGGCTACACTCACCAGGAATTTAGCCTCCACCACTTTGAGCAGAGAAAGGAAGCACTGGTGAGACGCTGGCAGCCTGCTTCTTTCAGTGAGATATCTTATATCTCGACTGGGAACTGAGAGGAAAAGGAGACTCATTCTCTTGGCCTTGCCCACTTGGATCAGAGCTTCAGGCATTGCTCTGAGATGGGTAGAAAGGAGAGAATGAGCAGGTTGCTGCTTAAGTGCCACAGACTCTCACTGTTCTTGCTGAGATTGAGTAGATTTTCTTGAAGTTTCTTCATTTGCTGTATGCCCTTAGGAAAATGTCAGAGACTTTGACAATTGGTTTGTAAAATAATCTTCACCGATTATGTAGGACAGTGGGCCAACAGAGTGTCCCATTCCAGAAGTGAAAGCCAGGCATAGAGATTTGAGATAAACTCACTCCAGCTCTCAGCAGTTCAAAGACATTGGAATTATATTTTAGATCCCTTCTGGGACCATTAAAATTAAGCAGGATACTCAGGTGCTAGCCTGATTAAATCATCTCCCTGGTACTGAAAGCTTCATGTAACCTCCAGTCTCTGAGACATGCAGTGGATAGGTGAGAACACCAAATCAGCTACAGTTTTGCTGATTCTTTGGAACTGCTTTGAGACTGAAGCAAAGGATTCATTCAGATTTGGCCCATTCCTTGAGAGTACTTGGGAGAGCAGATAAGACAGTGGGCACACAACTTGGAAATCTGGTGGAGACATGACCTGCTCTCTGGAGTTCCTGTCCTGCACAGACTCCATCTCCACCCCCACAATGTGATAGGCACTCAGATTCCTGCTTTTCTCTAAATCTGGTCTCAAGATGCAGGCATTCTCTCTCCTGCCTCTAAGGACGTGTCTTTCAGGCTTCCTTTCTCCCCCTGATGGGAGTGTTTACCTGCACAACTACAACTGGATACGCAGGGTGCGTTCTAAGTCGCTTCAGCCATGTCCAGCTCTTTGCAACCTCATGCACTGTAGCCCGCCAGGCTCCTCCGTCCATGGAATTATTCAGGCAAGAATACTGGAGTGGGTTTCCATGCCCTCCTCCAGGGGATCTTCCTGATCCAGGGATCGAACTTGTGTCTCTTACGTCTCCTGCATTGCAGGCAGATTCTTTACCACTGGGCCACCGGGAAGCCCAGATATCCAGGGTGCTGATCTCAAGGTCGGTCAGTCCTCTTTCCTACGCCAGTACCACCACAGCCAGAAACCAGACCTACCACTTGAGGACTTCAGCTCCTTGCAGCCATGATCCCCTGTCCTACCATTATCCTCAGATGATGCACTAGCTCAGCCAGATCACAGTGACAGCGTCAGCCTCCCCTGCCCTTGCCCACGTGAGTGTGCCCCCACTCGAACCAGCCCATCCTGGCTCTCAGAGCACACCCACCCCTCAGGAACCGGTCCCAGTGTCCTCTGGGGCTTCACAATGCCCAGGCCCACACAGCTCCTTTCAGGGACAACCCCCACTGGTCTCAATTATTTGTTCCTATGGAGAATTTAACCTCAGGAACTTTTTAGTAGTCAGGCTTCAGTTTAAAGGGACAGAAACAGTCTGAAATAGCCTAAGCTTCAAAAGGATCCTGGAGTGGCTTAGAGAACAATGAGGATGGGACCAGGGTGCGGAGACAACAGGCTCTGAGGTCCTGCCTCCATTTCTATCTGGGTTTGCCTCCTCGCTTCGCCTTCCATCTCTCTTACCTAGGGCTGTAAAAACCAGCTGTTCAGGAGCCATACCCCTTACCATCCCCTTCCAGAGAGAAGTCAACTCTCCCTGGGCATATTCTGCCATCCGCCCTCCCCATGGTCTGGCGTCTGCTTTTCCATCAGGCACTGTCTGCCCAGCCGTATGGCTCTAGCTCTGGCCAAGGGGTCTTTAGGTGGAAAGACATCCTCTTCTCCCATCTGCCTGCCTACCTCTGTGATCTTCTTTCCTTAGGGTCACCTGGAGCCTCTTGCCTCCTCAGGAAGAGGACTGAGGCTGGAATGCCTCAAAGTCCTTCTCACCCCTGGCTGCATGTGATGATTGCCTAGAGAATTTCACAAGATACCCACTGCTCAGGCTAGAAACCCGATCAATTAGTTGACTGTTGAACAATGTGGGGCTCAATCCTCACACAACATAGTTGGCCTTGCATAAACGTGGTTCCTTCCTATCTGTATCTCATTTACAAATTCAACCAACCAGGAACTATGTAACATTTAGTATTGAAAAATATGTAAGTAATGAAACTGCACAGCTCAAACTCGTGTTGTTCAAGGGTCAACCTGTAATTTGAATCACTAGGTGTAAGTCCTCTGCACTGGTGTTTCAGTGCAGCCAGGATTGCAACTACTGTATAGAGACCGAAGGTGAAGATAAAGAGGATTTACTTGAAGAGGTCTTGAGATACACCCTCCAACCCCAACACACACATAAGGTCCTACTGCCATTGTTAGAATCCTAATACTCCAAAAGCAACAGTTCCAAAGAATCCTTCAGTTTCCAGGAAATCCTCAAAATTTGTCATTGCAAAGCATTGTCACTTTAATCTTAATTTGAAGTCAGTTGCTAAGGCCCCACCAGAGGCAAATTTCCAGTAGGATTTGCTGGTTTTTAAGGTGGTCTGGAGGGGTGCTAACTCCTTCCAGCCACTGGGATTGGAAAGCAAATGGGTTACCAAAGGAGGTTTCCCTGGAAAGGGGGAGAGGTTCTTCTGGGTGGAGAATTGCATTTTTGTTGCTTCCCTGTCACTGTGGTCTTAAGAGACCCTCCTTTGTCCATCATAGACTTTTCCAGGGGCAACACTAAAAAGTCAGGCACAGAGGGGAGACAGCCGTTAGAAGTGGGCAGTGTGGTCAGATAAGCGTAGAGTTGACTCTGGGGTCTCAGGCACCCTCTGATAGGCCTGGGGTGTTTCCCCTGAGAAAGGGTGAGAATGTGGTTGAATCAGTAACATGCAACACTGTTTCAAGCAACATTTGTTGCATGGCTATTTGGCCAAAGTCATGAGACTGATTTACAGTGTACCTGTTTCACTGCAGGTGGAAGTAGAAGGTAATATAAAATGTTACTGGAGGGCAATTTGGAAATATCTATCAACGGCTTAAAAATGTTTATTTCCTTTCACCTAGTAATTCTACTTCTGGGAATCCATCCTGAGAAAACAACCAGAGAGGAGCCATTTTGTTTTCTGCATCACAAGTGAAACGGCAGCGCATCCATTATGATGCTGGGCTATGGTTGCGTCATAATTCACGTTTAGTATGTGGACTGACAACGGAAGCTAGCTCATTGTATAAGGCCGAATGAAAAGAGGCAGGAACACGTATAAGATGTGCATACACATAGCGAAATAGATCATGATTTCTGTGGGTAATGGGGTTTTA